TGGTTCCGCTGTTGCTGCACCTCGGTATCCCGCCCGGAGAAGACCTTGTGGGGTGTATTTGTGTGTGCACTGGTGTGGAGTGTGTGTTGTATTGGTCTTTTGTGATGCTTGGTGCTTGTCACAGTTTGGATCCAAAGCCCATTTTTCTCTGGTTTCTTCTCTGCAGCCCCCACTGGCCTGATTGGAAACTGGATTCCCTCTTTCCCCCGCCCTCCCCTCTCTCCTCTCCTCTCTCCTGTCTTCTCATAATGTTTTGATCCTTTTGCCCTTTACCATTTCTAATGAAGGTAAAGCGTAGCATCTTGTGGCTTTTCCCCCCTACTACTAACCAGAAATGTCAGTGTATCTTTCTTTTCTAAAGGAAATTAAGGCACCTTTATAAAGACATCCTGTGCTTGGTAGCTGTTAGACCCATTTGCATGTTTTCAAGATGCATCATTTTGTATTGTGTATTCTTAGGTGTTTGCTGAAATATTTTTATTTAAAAGTACAAAAAGACGTACTGGGACTTAACCTTCCAATTATCTTGTGGTTCAGAAAGATTTTTAAGCTCTTAGTTTTTAATTCCTGATTCTTTGAAAAGTATGTTTCTGAATATGTGATAATTGAGTCTGGACTGCGGGATTCTAAATGCTTTTACTCAGCTATCCAAGATGCTCCTTACTCTTTGGAGTTTCATGTGTGGGGTAATGAAGAACATGGGGTTTTCCTATGATCTACACCATTCTGGTTCCCCTAGGATACAGACTCCCCCGGGAGGGAGGGGTTTCCACTATTATTTCTTCCGACTATATGTTTGCAATTAAAAGCTGTATATTGCTAGATGTTGTGCATATAATGTAAATTGTTATTTTACATTTTAGAAAAGTTTAGAAATGTGAGTAGGAAGACTGGAAGACACAGATGACAGAATTAAACGTTTTCCTGTTATAAAAGCTGCAATGAAATCTTGCTTTTGCAGTTTTATGCGATGAGATAAGGTTATAAGGCTTATCCGGAGAGTGATGAGAGTTATTGAGTGACTGATGTTGCTTTTGTTATCAGTAATATTTATAGCCAAAACATTACATATGTATGGAGAATGAGTTTCATTCACTATATTACTCATTTCTAGGACTGTAATTAGAGCTCAGAGTACATAGCCAGTACAATCTGAAGCAATTTGTATGTTGAAAGAACATATTTGAATTTTTAAATGTAACACGTTTTAAGAAAACTCTACCTATTTTATGTTATGTTTAGAAACAAATTTTATGTGGGGTATAAAGAAAATCGGTTTATGTATCTTAGTAATTTATGTGTCTTACGTGTCTTTGAAACTGCTCTTGAGGCCGTGATCGTATAGTGGTTAGTACTCTGCGTTGTGTGAAACTGCTATTAAAGATTGTGTCTGTGTTCATCATCCTAGAATTTAATCTTCCTTCTAGATTAGAAAATTAGACCGAATTAGCTATTTAGGAATTAATTTTAAAATGTTAACTTAGAAGACAGTGTTTAAAAAGTTCTAATTCAGGAATATTTATTTATTTGTATTTTAGAGAGATACGACACGGATATAATTCTTGCAACTAAAATGATATGTAGACTTTCTTCATAAAAATTAGTTATCCCTGAGTAGTACAATAATTTTCTTCCATATATTTTTTCTGGATTCAGACATTCGAAAAACAAAAGCAGCAAGAATTTCCCTTATTCTTGATGTTTGAGAAAGATACAAAAACTTTATTTGCGATAGTTTTTATACTGGTTATCAGTAGTCTCAGATGATTTATCAGGTTAAGATTTGAATGAAATAATAATCAGGTAGGTTAAGATTTGGATGAAATAATTATTTTAGATCAAAAGTGGAAATACACTTTTTTTTTGTATGAAATTGGAAATTATGCCTCTATCTGGGCATTTTTAATAGGGTCTTTTTGCGGGGGGATGAGCCCTACAAATTTGTTTTATGGTGCTGGGAATTGCACCCAGGACCTCGCACTTGGCAGGCAACACTCTACTCCGGAACCCCACTCCAGTCTTCTAGTACTATTTTCATTAGTTCACTGTTGGGACTAATTTTTACCTTAGTTGTCCTCTGATGTTCTAGAGTAGTTTGTGATGTTTTGATTTTGGATTATGCTCACTGTATTATTGAGTAGTCTTTTATAATTGTGGCCTTAGATCATATGTAAATGTATATCAATGGCAATATTGAGAATTTATAGCTTTATAACTAATTTGATGCACACCTGAAACTCTAGACATAGTTTATTAAATCTTACTTAAACTGAAGCTGTAGCCTCACTATAATAGAACTTTATGTCATTTAGGTTCTCATGTATTTGTCATGTAATGGATTGCTTCTGGTTTAAAATGTATAAAATGATTTCTCATTCATTTCATAATTCTTAAAATATTGTTGGCAGCATTTTGCTATATCTAAGTGCCATTCTCTGAGAATTGTTCTTTCTTACTCCCATGCACATCTGCTCTAGCTAATGTGCCATTATGTACATATTTAGCAGGTTTTAAACTGTTGATATATTTTAAGTGAAAGAAATAAGCTGAAGAAAACCAATATTAAACCCAAGAATGATAATTTAAAGGGAAATAAAAAATGGAAAGAACAAGAAATACTTAGTCTTTTAGAGCTAGACGTGAAACATACTGATACATAATTTCAGCATTCTATGAAGTGACTTCAGTGCTCAGAAAAGATGTCATAGTTGTGGACACTGATGCTCTCCATTTACAGAATAGATAGCAAAGTAGATTTCCTGTCAGTGTGTTTCAGAACTGTTTGGCAGACCTGGTTTTTGTTTAGCATGGGGGAAGGTAACTGTTAGGGTTGAGGAGAAGTGGTAATAGGTATGCTTTCTCTGAGGGCTTTCAGTATTTTCTGTTGACTCTATCTCTCCGTGATTCCTGATTCTTTCAACCTTTTGTAGTGCTTTTCATTTAGACTGTTTTTTAGTTTGTTTTACTATAAAAATTTCAATCAACAAAAGTCTATATTACAAAATTGCCTTGGTTTAAAATAAGCTATCAGTGTCAGCTGACTATCTCTTTGTACTAGGTTACAGGAATAAGCTGTTTTATTTGAAGTGTCTTTTACTCATTCTTGATCATATCAGAAACTGTTGTACTTTGTTATAATTTGACTGAAAAATGGAAAGTATCCTTTTTCAAAAAGAATATGTTCAGTTTATCTTTGTATTTTTATTTTTTGAGATACAGTCTCACTCTGTATCAGTCTCACTCTGCTCAGGCTGTCCTCAAACTCCCTAGACTAGCCTTGAACTTGTGATCTTCCTGTCTCAGTCTGTCTTCAATAAATTTATTTTGTGCTGTTAATCGTATATTGTAAATACAGTAGTGTTTTCTTTTTTTTGTTTTTAGACTGGGTTTCACTATGTAGTTCAGGTTGGCCTTGAACTCACTATGTAGCCCAACTGGCCACAAACTCACAATAATTCTCCTGCCTTAGCCTCTTGAGTGCTGGGATTATAGGCACTCACTGCTACACCTGGTGTAGTTTTGCTGTTTAAGAAAATGTCAGAGATGGTAGCTATCTGGTACTCAAAGTGATTCTTAGATGACAGTGTCATAGTGAGCACGAGGCCCTTTAGAGTCTAGGTAATAGTTTCATTAGTTCAGTTCTGGATTTGTCAGTACACTGTAAGTTAGGTGGATCTTAACAGGTATTCATAGTAATCAAACTAAAAATTGATTATAGAAGAATGACAGTGGAGAGGGGAATATCCCCTTTTCGCTTACTGGAATTTTTAGGTCTGCTACCTAGATATTGAGGAATTGAGTTGGTAATCAGAGCTGGTTAGGGAGCATAAACTTAGAGCAAAGGGAATTTGAAAGCCTTGAGGGATATTTCATTCAACTGTGAAAAAACAAAATGAATTCTTCAGTGTCTCAGTACAGTCCCTATTCCTTGTGAAACATGGTTGCTTAGTACCGTGCATAGCTGGGTCACTGCTAACACCATCATATGGTTCAGTTTTTCTTTAGAATCTTGGGGCCTTCTGTGTTCTTCTGTTATCTTAAAGATTACTTAACACAATTTTTACTAGATTAGAGGATTGTTAACCTTAACCCAGGCTTGAGAATGTATTGATTGGATGTAAATATGAAAGTGTTTTCCTATATATGTTTCTGAGGCTATTTTTACCAACCTCTAGCAAGGTGGTTAACAAATTGGCTTACTAGTCTGAATTTCTCACAGCTGTATACAAAGGGCTTAGCACAGTGCATGAGCATGTTGCATGGTAGAGATTAGGCCCTCAGTCTGTTTGTTTGTTTTAAGTAACAGATTTTTTTGAGGTACATACTCCAAAATTCACCCCCCACCCTTGGTGCTGGGAATTCAACCTTGGGCCTTGCAAATGCCAAGCATTTCTACCCCAGAACTACACCTCCAGCCCCACATTCACCCTTTAAAAATGTACAGCTCTGCAGTTTTTATACTACTTAGAGTTGTGTACCGTTAGCATTATCTAATTTAAGAACATTTTTATCACTCCAAAAGGAAAACTTCTTACCCATTAACAATCATACCCCTTTCTCTTCTCATTGCTAGCCTTTCTGTATGTCTCTATGGATTCGGACATTTTGTGTAAATGGAGTAGTACAGTTTGTGGTCCTTATTAACTGGCTTCTCTCACTTAGCGTAATGATTCAAGGTTCATCCTTGTGGGAACATGTGGATACTGTACTTCATTCCTTTTTGACTGAGTAATATTGTGTTATGTGACTAGATCATGTTTTGATTATCCATTCATCAGTGGACATTTGAATTACTTGTAAGTTTATATGAACATGTGTATAAATTTTGCATGAGTGGATGAATTTCTAAACCTGTTTGTTTTGTAAGTGGCCAACTTCCATTTTATTTGGAGTTTTACTTCATTCTATTTTCAGGCTCACTTTCTTTCCATTCTGGGGGTATCTTATTCTGTTCCTCCCCACAGCTGAATAAATGACTTTTGATTCGTTAATCCAGGATCAGAAATGTCCACTGAGGCACAAAGAGTGGATGACAGTCCAAGCACTAGTGGAGGAAGTTCTGATGGAGACCAACGTGAAAGTGTTCAGCAGGAACCAGAGAGAGAGCAAGTGCAGCCCAAGAAAAAGGAAGGGAAAATATCCAGCAAAACAGCTGCTAAGTTGTCAACTAGTGCTAAAAGGTACTTTAGTTATAAAAACCTTTTAATTTTGTATCACTCTTACCATCCTAAGTTCTTCTTTTTATTTTTAATTGTATTTAGTCGTTTTTCTGGGGTGTGGGCCTTGAAATTCGTGAATTTTTATATCCTTTTCATTGGGGAGAACTTAAAGTTAAATGGCATGACACATTTACAAAATATATATTGATAATGTGTGTATGTATATTTGTATCTTGTCTCCTGACAAGACACAAGGATGAGTACAAATATGGTAGTTTGATTTGTAACCGTAAATACTGACCACATAAACATTCTGTTTTCTGTTCAGTAACACAGAATTATTGAGTGATAGTTCATTTTCTCCTACTCCTTGTTGGTAAACTCAGAAATGTAGAGTTAACAAATACATCTTGGTTTCATTACATTAAGTAGTGTGAGCTAAGTCTTGATACAGATTCTTCTCTTTTCCTAGAGAATAGCTAGATCAAGAAAGTAGCTATTTGAATGATCTCTTATTGCCTCTATAAGGCAATAATGTCATTGGACTTAGAGAGAATGTGCTTTGCTGTTGTTACATTATAATGGATAAGTTGGACATAATTTGAAAGGTAAATTATTAATAGAGTCTTACCTGATCTTACGATTTTGTTGTTACTGTTAATACTTTTTCAGAATAGCAAATAGGAAGTATGAATAAAAGTAGTATATGGTGTTACTTTTACTTTCTTCCCATAGCATGTGACTTTTAGATATAATGGAATGTCTGAATGTTGAATGGTAGCTTTATATGTTACTGGATGATGTGGAGTAGGGGAACTCCTTTCCTGAAGATCAGAAACCTTTCCCTCTGGTTGAGTCAGTCCAGAGGGTTGGGAGAACTTTCTCAAGCCCCCTGGTGAAAAATGTCAAGCGTGGTGATAAGTGGTCAGCACTCTGTTCCAAGGGACTGAGTATCGGTTTCCCCCTTCAAGGGGTGACTGGTAAAGCAGCTATGTGAAAGTCATGGCCCTGAACACTAAACCTTTAAACCTTCATGATAGAACATGCTGTGGTGGGGAAAAGGTTCAGTTTGTGCTGTCATACAAGTCCAAGGGGCTCAGCTGCCTGATTTTTCCACTGCCTGCCCACAAAATGGGCAGTGGATGAGGAAACTCTAACTTAACCGTTGGCTTCTGAGAGTATTTTCATAGAGAGTTATCAGAACAGGGGGACAGTGGGCTGACTAGGTCTGTAGAAAGTAGAGTTCTGCTGGGTTGTGCTGTCCTGTGATTGCTAGTTAACAAAGGTGTCTCTGTTCTCTGTCTGGGAACACTGCTACAAAATACCTGAAAATGATATTTTGGGGTGATGAATCAAAAACCAAATGCTGCTTATGAAAGAGGGTATACTATTTAATGTTTGAAATTGTTTAGTTTGTATACTTTTTACTTCATTTTAATGCAGTGCATATAAAAAAGTACAGATCACATATTCAAATCCAGTGATTGATTTCACCAGGTCAGAATACAGAGAAAGCATATTTTCCTCACTTTTAAATAGGGGATGAGACATATTTTAGAGTTATTTATAGAGTTCAGCACAGTCATTGTCACTCAATACGAAACAGTATTATTATATTGGTGAAAGTAAGAAGTATCTTTTGAGTTGTATACAGACAAAAAGAATCCCTCCGTTGGCAAGTTCATTTTTGTGAACCTGTGATTTTTCAAATTGTGATTCATGATTTTTCTCGTTAAGATCCTTAGGCAGTTTATGGATAACATATGAATTGACTGAAGTCATTTACTATTTATTTTAAATATAAAATGTTGCTTTACTGGCAATTTTTTAATGAAAGAAAAGCTTATCCTCTTCCTTTCCCTTACTCCAGTTCAGTTAGTAAAGTGGGTTGTTTCCTATCTCTCTTAAAGTTCTAAGGACTTAGGAGAGAATTGGGAATCATGAGGACAAGGGGGCCAATATCCTTTAATTTCACTATTATATCTGTAGTGCCTAGCACAGTAGGGTTATATTTAATTATTGCGTGCCTTAGTGAGCTTCTACCTTACAAGCTCAGTGCCTTACTGAGCTTGCTGTGTGAATTAGTATTATTTTTTAATGAATATTAGAATTTCAGTTAGATTCAAAGAGGTAGTTTCAATATAAAATTTTAATTTATACTTTTTATTTGTAATGATTTTTATTCAGGTGAGTGATCTGTCCCAAACATTGTCATTCTGTGAGATAATCAGTAGCAGTGAAAAACTTGGACTTAAAGAGACAGGATCTGGATTTCGGTCTGGGCGGTCTTAGTCCAGTACTTAGTCCCTCTGTGATCTTGGATGCATAATTTAATGTCTCTAAGCTTCAGTTTCTTTTGTAAAGTGAAGATAATGGTGCCGTCTGTAGAAGGCTGTTGTGAAGACTAAATGAGATAAAATGTTTGCACAGAGTAAGCACTTGTAAACTGATGCTGTCATTTATAGACTTTATGGCAGTTAAATGTCTTCAGTGATACTTTTTGAATCCATTTAGTACAGACTTTGGCAAAATGAAGTATATGTTAACCTCAGAGGACTTAAAACTACTCTTAAACTAGAAATATTCAGATGCTGTAAATACATGTTAAAGTAGCTCAGGAAAAGTACTTTGCACTTAAGGTTCAGTTACTAAGTGAAATTAGTTCTAATTAGAAAACTAATAACTTCTGTATAGTAAATGAGTAGTAATTGTAGGATAATTTATTGTAGAAATGTTTCCTTTAAAAAATCTAAGGTTTGAGGTAGTATAGAACAGTGACACACACACAGAGGTATTTAAGCAATGGCATAAATTAATTAGTCTTTTTTAAAGTAAGGAGGAAAGATATAGTTACACTTTTGAACACTCAGGAGGCTGAGGCAGGACTGCCTTGAGTTCAAGGCCAGCATGGGCTACATAGTGAATTCAAGGCCAGCCTGAACTACATAGTGAGACCCTGTCTCAAAAAATAAATAAAAAATAAATGTACAGTTACAGCTTTGTTGCATTTTTGCCCTGTTTTGGCAAGAATTTGTTTCTTTAAAATTGGCATGCTCTTATCACAGCCTGTTCTCTTGTTATATCACTTTTGCTATATGTGCAAGTTTATAATTTACGATATTTACAGTAACAAATTCAGATGATTTTGATTAAATCAACTAGTCAAATGAAATGTCTATTTTGAAATCTTCATTGAATTGACTCTGCTGTTGATTTTACACATTTACTTATCTGTAAATATGAATTAATTCACATTTGAAATTGATTTTGCTCAGAGTAGATATTGTGATGTCATTGAACACTCAATTTATACTGTTCTAGAAATATTACTAATTTTTTTTTAGGTTCATGTGTTGATCCTGGCATGTTCACTTCATTTTTATAAAAAAAAGATTTTTTTATTGTACAGGTTCATCCAAGTTTATTTTCCTCTTGAAAATACAGTAATAGTCCTCACAAATAATATTTCATAATCACTATTTTCTTGATTCAAAATGTTCATTTCAGAACTTGTTAATATTCTGAAATTAAGATGCTTCTTCCAGTTGATGAACAGAATTATTTAATTGGTGATATGTCTTAAAATCAGTGGTCCTTCACAACAGGTACATAGTATATATCACTGTTTAGAATTAAACTCTAGCATTATATGCAGTGGTAGCGTATTTCTTAGAGACTGCTTTGACATTGCATTTTAATAATTAGTTGTCTGATGCTTTCTTTAGAATAGTTGATTTCAGTGGTGAAGAGTAGGGGTTCTTAGGTGACTGATGGATACAGTCCACAAAGGAATGTAGAAAACCATCCAGGTGTAATGAAGGCTTTTTTTTTTTCAGATAACTAAGAAATCACTTTTATGTGTCTCAATGTTTACATATTCTTGTTCTATTTGGCCCTGAATAATTTACTACTGAATATTCTTTACTCAGGATGTGTGTGTGTGTGTGTGTGTGTGTGTGTGTGTGTGTGTGTGTGTGTTGTACATACATACTGCTTCATTTTTTGGAAACATTAATCCAGTGTATTGATTTTAAAATGAATACTTCATATCTTCTTAATTCTGTACATTTTTGATGTTGTATTCTTCAGTTAAGTTGAGGTGAGTTATGATTGTTATGATGCTTCCCTTTTTAAAAAAGCAAATGATAGCCCCATGCAGTACTTTTACTGTCCTCTTATCATTCAGTTAATGTATTAGGTGAAATCATATAACCTGAAATTTAGTTTATAATTCACTCTTGCCTGGTCTCACTATGTGCAGTTTTATATGGGAATGAACTGTAGTTTTACCTAATGGGAGTTGGAAATATAGACAATTGTCTAGTTAATTTCTGTCTAAATAAATTTTGTCTTAAAGCTTCTGGTAAGAAAGAGGTGTTTGTATTTTCATAGTTTTTTGAGACAGGGTCTCACTATGTACTTCAGGCTGGCCTTGAACTGAGTAGGTAGCCCCGGCTGGCCTTAAACTGCATCAGCTTCCTGAGTGCTGAGATTACAGGTGTGCATAGCCTCGCCTGGCGAGAAGAGAATTTTATGTCTTTGACCTTACCTGTGTAAAATGACTAGCCTTAGTGTCCCTATCTTTTAAATGGGCACTGATAGAACAGTAATAGAGAATTCTGTGCGATTTATTTAATTCACTTTTAATCACTGAAGGCAATGATGGTTAACCTATGGTATGCATACCACAGCGAGCCCTTTCATACACAGAGCCCTTTCTGTTAGCATGTGAGTCAAGTTGTCCCAGCATCTGAGCATCAAATAATAGGTTTTTTTTTCTAAATTAAAAGGATTTTAGGATTAAGGATTCAGATTTCATTGCAGTGTTGCTACTTGGTGATAAGTAAGTAGGTTTCGGGTTGCAGTTTGAGTACTTGATCTCTAAAAGGTTGTCATCACTGGTCATCATGTGAAAGGTATATGTAAATGTGAATTATTGATACTTAATTTTTCCTTACTTTGAAGGACAGTATCTGAAATAGCTTCTTCTTTACCCCACATATCAAGACTGAGAAAATGAGACATGCCATGATCACAACTTTTGAGATAGAATTAAATTGCTGTCGTTGAAAACAGCAGGACATCTTGCAACCATTTAAATAGCAATTCTTAGTATAATCTCTTCTGTCAAAAGAAATACAACTGTTCTTAGGTACTAGTGGCTCCAAATATGATATATTGGTTCATTGCTTAGAGTTGTTGAATTTATCAGTAAATTGCTTTTTGTATTGAATAATAAAGATCTGGAGTGGTTCAAACTGTTATAGAATTTTATGGTAGAAAATTATGTTTTATAATTTTTTTAAAATGAAAAGGATAAGCATAAAGCAGGACAAGTTATTTGAGAATTGCAAAGACATTCTTTCATGTCAAAAATAGCCAGCCAGCTTGCTTTCCTCCTTTCTTCCTTCAACTGATCTTCCTTCCTTCCTTTACCATACTGGGGATTCAACTCAGGGCCTTGTGCAAGTGCTCTACCACTAAACCATTCCCAAAATGGTTTTCTTTGATAATTTAAACATGTTCTTTTGAATTATTTTTTGTTCTCTCAATTTAAATGATGTATAAAAATTACTTGTTTCTTATAACAAACAGTAGGAAATTTTTTAATGGAAATCAACAGTTTTTGCTCATTTCTCTTCCACCAACAGTCCTAATTTCATTTTCCTAAAGAAAACTCCCAGCTGTCCCTGCTTTAGTCTTCCAATTGGTTTTCTGCATAACTCTAAATAATATACTTATTTTGTGTTTGTTGAATTATTAAATAATATCTTTTGACTCTTTGTTCTAAAATTTACCTAATTTTTTTCTTTCCTTTCCCTTTGACATGTTTGTGGTAGTTACATTTTCTAAAAAAGAACACTGGTTGACTTTAGCATGTATTTAGCATATATGTCTAAAGCATATATTTAAGCTTGTATTTTTTGTTTCTGTAAACTTCAGTATTTTCTGATTCTCTGCTTTATAAAATGGAGAATCTTTTGTATGTTTATTGTTCTTCCCTCATGCATTTTATTAGCTACACTTTATTTCTACAGGTTTCTATTAGCTACACTTAATTTCACATTTTCATGTTTTAAGCAAACATTTACATTGTTTAGTGTAACTATAGCACATCTTCTGTTGTATGTGAAAGACCAATAATTGTATAGCTGAAATTGTCAATGCCAGACTAAATAGAATGTTAGGTTTGGATTTCCTACAAGTTCAATGTCATGTTCCCTGGGCTGCCCAATGAATCATGGCATGTATGCAAAATAGGCAAAATAGATTAACATCCCACATACATCTTTTACTTCACTAAGATTATTATTTTTATTTTTAAAATCTGTGACTTTTTTCTTTCTGGGATTTTTGACGTGTCCTGCCCCTGAATCTTTATTATGTCCTTATGCATTCTGTAGCTGCCTTTTGCTTGTTATATAAGCTGTTTGTCACATATGCATCTTGTTCCTGAATGGTGAAGATGAATATGTGTGTGCTTATCTTGCCATCTTTAACTTGGATTTACCTAGTTTTGAAGTGCTTGTTTTATACTTTCAGTGTGAAATTTGTAAAAGCAGTTCTACTATCTGAGACTTTTTGCTACTTCTTGTCTTTTAGTTGTGGGCCACGTGTACTTCTATGCTTGTAAGCAGATTAACAATCTGTTTTAAAAGGAAATTATAGTGTGTTAAAGATAAAAAAGAGCCAGGCATGGTGACGCATGCCTGTAATCCCAGCACTCATGGGCTGAGGCAAGAGGATCGTTTCAAGTTTAAGGCCAGCCTGGGCTACAAAGTGAGTTCAGGACCAGCCTGAACTGTGCAGTGAGACCCTGTCTCACAAAAAAAATAAATAAATAAAGATAAAAAGAGATCATGGATTTGTTTTAAGTAACTTCTCTATCTTATAGGATAGAAAACTAAAGCACACAGAGAAAAGTATTTCTGCCCATGGACTCAATAACATAACAGAATTAACATGAAAGGTTTTGTCTTTCAGTTTTCAGTCTTGCTGTGATTCATAATGTCTCTCCAACCTAGAATCACGTGGTTTAAAGAAGTGAAAATTATGCTAGGTATGATGCAGTTCCTTCAGAAAGTTAGTAACAATCCTATTAAAGGAGTCCTTTTTTTGTAGTATTTCCTTGTGTTGTTTTAAAAAAAGATACAGAATGAAATTGACCATAAATGTTTTCTTCAGATTTTTTTTAAGGGTGCTTTTAGTCAGCTGTCATTTATATACTGTCTGTAGCTGTCATCAGACAGCAGGCATCCAGCTGTTAATAATCTCATATTTAAAAAGCAAAGCAAAGGAGATGAAATACTTTTGAAAATTTGTTTTCCGTGCTGGGTATTGATTTCAGGGCCTCATGCAAGATAGATTGTGTGCATGTTAATTTAACACAACTTAATAAGACATGAATGATAGGCATTTAAGGGTAGTTTTAGAAAATAGTATTGCGCTGTTAGCCTTTGTATACATAAGGCGTTAGGTGCCATTAAAAATCAAAGTAAAAATAACTCAGCAATAGTGCCTGTGCTTAGCATGCATGTGGTGCTGGGTTCAGTCTCCAGCACAGTTTTGTCAACAAACACACACAAAAAAACTGCAATTCATGGGACAGAAGCAAGTTTAATTTTTTTCTTTCTTTGTATGAAGTTCATGCAATGACATTAAAATAATTTTTCTTGCACCATTAAAATAATTCTAGCAGAAGGGATGGCATCGATTTGAAAGCCCAGACTTCTCTAATTTAAGAAGCTTCAGGAAGGATGATGATGATGATGATGATTGTTATTTTGAGATAGGCTCTCACTCTGTAGTTCAGGCTGATCTCAAACTTGTGATGTGCCACCACACCTAGCTAATATCATACTTGTTTTGGTAATAGTTTCTGATGTTTGAATGAGATCCTGATACTCCTTTCCTTATCAGTGGATTGGATTATTCAGTAAGCTTGGATTCACTTAATATCAGCTTTCCATTCTATGTGGAGATGTTCTAACACAAATCAGAAGTTAGAATGACCCATAAATAGTATGGTAAATGTTTCTAATTTAAACTAGAAATTCTGGCTAGTGCTAACAGTGGTTTGATGAAGTCATAATGTTGCTTCTGTAGTCTGCATGCAATGATAATGGGCACTCTCATCACTTTCTGTAGGTACATCATAAAAACTGTGGCAGAAATTACTGCTGTTACTGTATATGATGCTTTACATATATTGGTATATCAAATTAAAAATATACAAGATGAATTGTTAGTGTTACAATACAATATTTTAATGAAAATTAATAAGCGTGAAGACATTTTGACATAACTTCATTTGTCTTTATTTTAAAGAATTCAGAAGGAACTTGCAGAAATTACTTTGGACCCTCCTCCCAACTGTAGGTAAGTACTTACTGATGATTATTTTCCTGCATCCACTGCAGAAGATAACATTTACACTGTTGGTTTGATGTGTAATTGTAGTTTAATGAATAAAAACATCATTATGGCTTACACTTAAATGACTGTGGAGGACATTTGTGGTGGTTGTTTCTCTATAGAAATAGAGTGTTCAACGAGTGTTTGTAGTGGCAAAGTGGAGTTGTCAAAGGTAGTGTAATGCATTAGTAATAAGATGATGAAATTACAGAGTAACAGACACAATTACCTTTTAGTGGAAGAGGCCCTTAAATGATTTCTTTATTGATAGAAAATAGTGTAGCTAAAATATTTAATACTTGATAATTATTCAGTTGTTTTGTTGGAAATTGATTTTTTAAAGTACAGGAGTATTTTACGTGATTGCTTATGGTCTTTGGTTGTAATTAAGACAGGGTGATTTGAGGCAATGATGTTAAATATAAAACACACTCTCCCTTTATGATCACATATCCTAATTTTCTGGTCAGTTTTTCCTTAGAGAAAATAAAAGTGCTTGCCTGGAAATGATTATAAGGATGTATAGGTATATAGAGAAAGAGGAGAAAAATATCCTTCTACCTTATCCTGTAGCTTACATCTGGGACAATCATTAGAAGATGGCTGTTTTACTCTCTTTTTTTTTGATACCGGGAATCGAACTCAGGGCCTTGCGCTTGCCAGGCAGATACTGTGCCGTTGAGCTATATTCCTGGCCCTGTTTCACTCTTTCTAAGACATTTATTTTTGTTTTAATATGAGCTCCGTGTTGGAACCAGGGCAACACTGGATTTTTTTATAGTTTAGTTGATAATCATGGATTAAAGATGAAGAGGCCAATAAAATGAAAATATTTCCGACATTGACTGCAGGTAGAATTTATTAGATTGCTGATTCTATTGATCTTATGTTCATGTTGAAAACAAAGATAACTGTATTAATGAAAGTGAGAATTCTATAGATGATTTTAGTGTACTAATAAATGGCTAGTTGACAGTTATTTTGTGCAGGGAAAATTCTAATAAGGCTTACGATGTTTGTGGTGAATCTAATAGGGTTCTTTACTTGAGAGTAAATGTTCAGTACATAAACTTGCATTAATGTTCAAAGAATGTTTCATCCAGTAGAACAAATTTTTTTTTTCTTAAGACTGTTTAATGTGAGACTTTTTGTCACATAAAACTATTGTATCAAACCTGCTTCTGATTATTGTTTAGCTTTTGGTGGATTGATTTGTGTGGAAATTGGTTTGAATTAAATAAAAAAATTACTTGTTTTTGAGAACAGTATTTGTTTTAAGGGCTTGAATCTTTTTAAAAATAAACTGACATAGCATATATATATATTACTTTTGTAACATCTTTATTCAGACAACTGAATTGGTAAATTATGTGCTTGAGGTACTTTTTGCTTAAATTATGACAACAAAGTAAGTGTTGTTTGTTTTAATGAATTTAAGCCTTATTTTTGTAAATGGAATCCACATATATTGTGCAGTGTAGACTGCAGCTTTGCTCGTAGATATTCTGATTGATTGATTTGGCCTGGTTTTTTGAGACACGGTCTCACTTTGGAGCTCAAGATGGCCTTGAACTCACTGCTGGCCTCAAACTTGTGGTGATCCTCCTTCCTCAGCCTTCTGAGTGCTGGGATTATAGGCATATTCACCACACCCAGCAGTTACTTTATTTTCTAATGCTTTATACTGGATAGTGTAATTTATCTTAGATTCATTATGGGTAGTACTTTAACCTTGATTAAACCAGTATTATAAGAGTGCATGAAAACTTAACAGACTGAAGAAAGGAGTTACACATTGGCTATTTAACTAAAAATAATTGAACTATATTTTTCTTTACAATAAAGTTTAACTGGGTGTCATGTGAAATTTGGAGGTTGACTTTCCTTGAGTTTTAGTACATGATACCATTGCTAATTCCTATGTGGACTGTCTAGAAAGAAAATACAAGTAATTTTTGATTTTCGGATGTAACAGTCATACATAATAAACGCTTCATTGTTTATTTGGTTAATTTTAAGGCTTATAGGAACTTGCAGGGAAATCCACATGTCTTCTGAGGACTGGATCACTAAAAACTCTGCTTTCAAAGCTAGGTCCTTCCGGCAGTAGAGTGGCTTTGTGTCTTAGTTACTTTCTTATTGCTGAGACAAAATAACCAACACCCACAAGTGAAAGGAGGAAAGGTTTATTTTAGCTCACAATTTGTAAAGGTTTCAGTCCATGAGTGGCTGGTTCCAGCACAGGGCAGCAAGGCTGAGGGTCATGGCAGAAGAGAAAGAGCTGATGGCAAGGGAGGCAGGAGGCAGCGAGCCTTCCTTCTTCTTTCCATTTTTATTCCATCCAGTTAATGTTAATTCCTATTAGTTGGTGCCATCCACACCCAGCATGGGTTTTCCTTCTTCAGTAAATCTATAGTCCACACCCAGAATTATGGTAAACCAGTCAGTGGACTATTCCAGTATCACTCAGCCGTGATCCTGTACCATATACCCATGATCCAGTCACTCCCCAAATCCCCCCTGTGAGTGCATGAGGCTTTGTGGGGACATCTAGATTTAAGCCATAACATTCTACCACTGGCCGCCAGAAAACTCAGGTTCATTCCTTTATGCAGAGTGCATTTAGTCCATCTCTAGGAATTGCCGAAGTCCTAACAGCTTCAGCATTACCGAAAAGTCCAAGTCATAGTTATAGAAAATTATACATTATTTGTGTGAAATTTGGTACATGGTCACAGTATTTTCATAAATAGTAGAATATATTTTGCTTGGTCTCAGCTCTCATGTTGGATAACATAACTGACCCTTGACACTTTGCAGAGGCTCTGTCCTGAGGCCTCTGCAACTTCACAGATGTTTTCGTACCACCCGCTGAGTTAGAGGTGCTGAGCTATTGGCAGCAATTACTACTCAAGTGCCTTGGTTTTGGGCTATTTGCGTATATTCTTTAAAGAAATCTTTAGATTCTTTGCCCATTTTTATTTGTGTTGTCCTTTCTAATGTTGAGTTGTAACAGTTCCTTATATATTTTGGATTTAAATCCTTTGTATCAGATGTATGATTTACGAGTCTTTTCTCCTATTCTGTGGGTGTTTTTATTCTCTTCTGTTATTTCTTTAAAAAAAAAGGACCAGAGATTGAACCCAGGGTCTCACAAATACTAGGTAAGTGCTCTACTGTTTAGCTAGGTCTCCAACCCTGTTAATTTTTTTTTATTTGAGATAGGGTCATGGTAAGTTACTTAGGCTGGCTTCAAACTAACGATCTTCCTACCTCAGCCTTCTGAATACCAGGATTATAGACATGGACCACTGCACCTGTCTGTTTTTTTAATTTCTTGACAGTGGTCTTTGAAGCACAAAAGTTTTTATTTTCGATGAGCTCTGATTTATCTATTTTAATTAGCAATAATCGTGCCTCAGATAAACCTCATTGGCTATGATACTGCCACTGCGCAAAACTTGATTTATCTATTTTAGATGGTTTTGCTTATATGTTTGGTGTCATACCTAAGAAACCATGTCCTAATTAAAAGCCAAGATTAAAAGCCAAGAATTTTATAATTTTAGCATTTATACTTTGGTTTCTGATCCCCTTTGAGTTGTTTTGTATGTTGTCTGAGATAGAGGTACACCTTCTTTTTTTTGATTTGTGTATACTAATTGTCCTAGCACCTAGACTATTTCCTTGTAGAATTGTCTTGATACTCATGTGCAAAATCAGTAGATCATAAAATTGAACATTGTTTAATGCAGTTATTTTCCATTGACCTATATTTGTGTTCTTATGCCTCTGCAATAGTCTTCTTTTTTTTTGGGACCGGGAATCAAACTCAGGAGCTTGCGCTTGCCAGGCAGGTGCTTATGCCATTGAGCTATATCCCCAGCTCCCACATAGTCTTGATTACTGTAGCTTTGTAGTAAATTTTGAATCAGAAAGTGTAAGAACTCCAGCTGGTTTACTTTTCATTGTCTCAACTCATTAATTCAGGTATTCCCAGCATAGAAGAGGCTATGATTGGTTAGAAACGTAATCACTGTCTCACCTTACTCATATGCAGCCTACTTAGTAGAGGAAAGTGTATTTTCTAGATCATAGTAATTAAAATAGCATTAGAGAGCAGGAAGGGAGGGGAAGAGAGAGAAAGAAAGAGAGGATAGTTTTCAAAAGTATATCATTGAACAGGAAAGCCATTTACACACAAATTGGGAATAGTGTCTGTACAAGTATAATCTCTTAAGAGCAATCAGTGCAAAAATCTAAATATTGTCACTAGTTGTTTTCCTTTTCTGATTATTGTAAGTTCTGTATGGCAGTTTGTACCTTTTAAAGGATTTCATATATTATATCCTTTGGTTTTTACAACTGTTCTGAGACTCCTGAGTTTAAGTAACGTACTCAGAGTTGCACAGCCAAAAATGATTGATTTGGATTTAAGTCCAGGTTATTTGATCTTCTACCCTTTATGGATTAAACAGAGAAATACATTCAAAATTTATGGCTATTTGTGGTTAAGAAATAAAACATACACACACAAAATCAACATGCAGGCAATCTGAAATACCTTTTGTAATATATTTGATTTGTATTTTTGAATTCCATGAAACAGTATTCAACAGGAACATGTTGAAAAGTAATTTTTTGATCATACTGTTTTCTATCATACTACCTTGGTCTATGTGTGGATATGTGCCTCAGTGTTACCATTACTGGCACATGTCTAAGTAAATGATTTCTTTACATATGACCAGTCTTAACTCGGTGTTTGCAGATGTCTGCACTTTATTGCCAGATAGGTTTTTCTCTGTTACTCAGCCTAATTGTAGTCACATTCCCCTACAGTTCAGTTTAGTATTCATTAAGGGCTTAATAGTAGAGCTATGCTAGCCAAATGTAGAGTATAAAAATATATCCAGATGTGGTTCCTAATCCTTAAGATCTGGATACAACTAATAATACATAAT